TATATATACATGTTAAATGCTCAATAAGAGTAGGTACCAGGATACTCTGCCAAATCTGCGTCTTCAGTGTCTCTGGAACATGGTCCCAATCCTCAATAAGAATACTAACCTTGCTTCTCCCAAGCAAGGCCACATAGCTAGTGAATCTAGCACTGTGCTCTCCTGTGGCTCTACCTGTTTGCATGTCAAACTGGATAGACAATTTCTGATCGGAGCTACGGCTGATATTCAAGTCCCTCAACCAGTGTAGCACGCCTACCCTTTTTCCCGGTAGACGACCGACTCGATCACCACCTTGTGTAGGAGGGGGACTGTGTAGGAGGAGGGGTACCAGATGAATCTGCCATATCTGTGTTCAAAGAAAAAAATAATAGTTATTAAATTAGACAATATGACTGAAGATAAACAAAAAAGTGCATACATTAAAAAAAGTGCATACATTATCAAGTTGGAACATTCTCCCAAAATCCTTCCATATGGTCATAACGTGTGGCATGCACATCATCTATTTCTACATTAACACTCAAGTTTGACATATTTGAAGAGAAACATGGTGTCTTTGGTATATCAAGTACTAATTCATCATTCTCATGAGAAGTATACATGGGTTTTCCTTGTAGAACCACTGACCATCCTTTGTTAGCGGGATCAGTGACATAAAACACTTGTTTTGCCTGAGATGCCATGATAAATGGTTCTTCGGTATAACAAGTATTTTCAAGGTTAACCAAGGTAAATCCAAGATCGTCGGTGAAGATGCCAGTGTTAAAATCAACCCACTTACATTTAAAAATAGGTACTCTGAATATCGTGTAATCTATTACCCAAATCTCTTCAATTACACCAAAGTAGTCCATTGACGCCGTTATCGGATATTTATCCTTTGAACTCGAGAAATGAATTGATTCAGCCACCACCATGACTCCACTATTTTGCATTGTGCTTATTTCATATTCTCCCTTTGTATAGAATGAATAGTTATTTATATCATACCCACCCCAACATATCACATCAAAGTTTGGCTCACATGCTAGCCACTTTAGTGTATCAGAAGCTGTATTGTCACCTTCAACTTATTGTTTAAACCACTTCAAAAAGCTCTTGTTGTGTTCAGTGATCACCCACTTTTTAGGCATACGTGGATTATTTCGCTTCACAATGTCTTTATGAGCACTTAAGTAGGGGATGACTTCTTCACTGTTATTCAATATGTACAAATGCGCTTGAAGTACTTCATCTCGACACATTGTCACAACTTTTGCACCTCGAGTTCCTCTACCAAGACCTATTCCATGGTAACGAGTCTTATGTAACCCTATAGCTTCAACTTCTGATAAGTATTGTGTGCAAAACTCAATAGCTTCCTCTGCAATATATCTTTGAACAATTGATGCTTCAGGACGATATTGGTTCTTCACATACCCTTTTAATATCTTCATGTATCGCTCAATAGGGTACATCCATCGTAAGAAAACTGGACCACAGATTCTAACTTCCCTGGCTAGATGAACAATCAAGTGAACCATAATATCAAAAAATGATGGAGGAAAGTACATCTCAAATTGACATAATATGACTGCAGCCTCATTCTCTAACTAATCCAAAACATCCGGGTCCATAACTTTACTACATATGACATTAAAGAAAAAGCATAATCGAGTTAAGAAATATCTAACATTCTCTGGTAAGATACCTCGAATAGCCACAGGTAGAAGTTGTTGCATCAATACATGACAATCATGAGATTTTAACCCAAGCAATTTTAGATCTTTCATAGATACAAGTCTCTTCACATTGGAAGAGTAACCAAATGGAACATTCACACCTCGTAAAAACTCACAAAAACTTCTTTTCTCTTTTTTAGACAGTGTGTGACATGCTGGAGGCAAGTATGTTCGGTTACCATGAGGTTGAGGAGCTAATTGTTCTCTTATACCCATTTCAACCATGTCCAAACGAGCATTGACACCATCTTTTGTTTTTCCTTGAATGTTAAGGAGCGTTCCGATGATACTCGTCACACACATTTTTCTCTACATGCATGGCATCTATACAATGCCTCACATCAAGAACCCTCCAATATGGAAGAACAAAAAGGATTGACATTTTCTTCCATATACCTGTGGCTTTCTTTTGCGTCTTTCCAAACTCACACGAAATCGCACTTGCTCGTTGATATACTTCTTCCCCACTTAAAGGTGCTGGGGCTGCATCATTTTCTTGACACCCATTAAATGATTTTTTTAATTTACGATATGAATGGTTTGAAGGAAGAAATCTTCGATGTCCAAGGTACACTTGTTTTCCTTCCATGTTGTAGTTGATAGTGACATGTGTCTTCTTCACATATCGGGCAAGCTTTATGTCCCTTTGTGCTGTAGCCACTCAAATTATCATATGCTTGGAAAGTCATTAATTGTACAAAATAACATTGCACGCAACTTGAATAAGTCACTCGTGTACCCATCAAACACATCAACACCTTCCTCCCACAACATCTTCAACTCTTCAACCAATGGGCTTAAAAAAACATCAATGTCATTTCCAGGTTGTCTGGGGCCCGAGATCATCAAAGATAGCATCAAGTACTTACGTTTCATACACAACCATGGAGGTAAGTTGTAAATAACTAACACCACAGGCCATGAACTATGTTTACTGCTTAAATTTCCATATGGATTCATTCCATCTGTAGCAAGTCCAAACCTAATGTTTCTTGGATCATTACCAAAATTCTGGAAGATGGAATCAATTTTTTTCCATTGCAATCCATCTGCCGGATGCCTCAACTGACCATCTTTAATACGGCTATCTGCATGCCATCTAGTGAGCTTTGCATCATTTCCATTAGTGAATAATCGTTTCAACCTTGGAATAATGGGAAGATACCATAACACTTTTGCCGGGGTACCCTTCATTACATCATTGTCAGAATCACCATCCTTCTTCTTGTATCGTGATTCCCCGCATTGTGGACATTCGTGAAAGTTCTCAAATTCTTTCCTGTACAACACACAATCATTCGGACATGCATGAATTTTTTGGTACTCCATACCCATTGGACATAATATATTCTTAGCATCATAATTGCGGGTTGACAATGTGTTATCTTCAGGGAGCATGTCACTCAACAACTCAAGCAATTCTGTGAAACTTTTATCAGTCCACCCATTCTTTGCCTTCACATTGAACAATTTTAGTACCACCGACAATCGTGTGAACTTAGTACAATTTGTATACAAAAGATTTTTTGCATCATTGGACAACTTCTCGTACACATGTATATGTTGGAAGGCATCTTGTCCAAGCTTACGAATCATTTCCTCCAGCTGATCATCCATCTCTAGATCAACTTCTTCTTTGTCTTCTACACTTGACACGTTTAATAATTCACCATGCCATGTCCACTTTATGTAACTCTTTAGGAAACCATTACAAAGAACATGTTCCCGAATAACTTCAATCGGTAATCTTCGCTCATTCAAGCAGTTAACACAAGGGCAATAGAATCTTCCATCATTATCCGGAACATTCATCTTAGAAAATTCAAGGAATTGTTCTACTCCACTCTCATATTCATTTGTTGTTCGTCTATAATTGATCCAACTCCGATCCATTGTTACCTTCTGTCACATAACACAACATATAAGTATAGTTTGATGATGATAACATCCAACATGTTCTGCTGAAATTGCGATGTCACGTGATTGGATATTTTAATCTTTCAATAGGAAGTTTTGTCCTACAATGGATCATTTCATGACTGACTCCAATCAAGGCTAACCGTATTGTCTCACATTAGGGTGAGCATAAGCGATGATAGTTTTCGCTTAAAATAAAATAACTACATTATAATACAAATCTAATTTTCAAAATCAAAATCACGAAAGAATGCCTATAGAAACACATTCAAATGACTAAACTACTTACAATACGTCTCTAAATTAGCTAAAGGCACCCGTGAACTTCTATCTCTTGACAGCATTATTACATACTAGATTAAAAAATGTAAACCTACAATGGCTAAAGCAAGCACGAAAACTTACCTCTTGAAGACCTACAGAGGTGGCAGGTGGCGTGACGTGCAGAGCTGGGTGGGGAGAAATGTACACAGGCGACGGGCACCAACGACAGTAGCAGCAGGCGGCACGACGTACAGAGTTGGCAGGTGGCGTGACGAGCAGAGCTGGGTGGGGAGAAACGTACAAAGGCGAAGACGTTCGTAGAAGATATAGAGAGAACGGGGAGCTCTGCTATGGGTGAAGTGAGAAATGGAGTGTCGCGGCAGGTGTAAAACAGAGGATATTATGTCGGTTGCTCTCACACCCGTCATCAAATACACTTTCTATGTCGGGTATGTCGGGTAAATTTTAACCGACATAGAAAGTGAACTTTCCATGTCGGTTAAGTTTTACTCGACATAGAAAGTGAACTTTCCACTTACTATGTCGGTTAAAATTTACCCGACATAGAAAGTTTATGATTTTATTACAAAATTGCCACCGCGTTACATACTATGACGGGTGGACTACGACCGTGATAAAAACTCGTCATAGAATGCTATTTTTCCACTAGTGGTTCTCGGTGACATTCATTGTTTTTAATAAATAAACCATTCCAGTTTAATTCCCTGATTTCTTATCTCTAACAATTACAAATGCAATATTAATATGTATTTTACAAATTATAAATAATTAATAAGTTAATGTTTAAAGCTTACATCGCCTATCTTATGTAATTTGGTATGATTTAAATATATGTCATTTGGTATGGTTTAAATACATGTTACTACATGTTGTCAATTGGTTTTATGTTGGAACTTTAACATGGTATCAGAGTCAAAACCTAACATCTTTCCAGTTATTGTCTTAGGTCAAAAAGTTACCCTTTAGTTGAGTCAAAATACCCTTTGTTTGGCCCAGCAGACTTCGTTGAAGGGGGCGTGTGAAAAGTCGTATATTGCCTACCTCGTCTCATTTGGTATGGTTTAAATCTATTTATCAAATAAATCGATGGTTGTTGAAATTGTCTTGAGCTATTTCATGTAACAACATGAGTTTCTGATCTTCTGGTACACTATAATTGCCAAGGTTTTTCCTCAAGGGCGTGTCCACATAGTTGCCAGCAAATAGTTCCACATTTGTAATGTCGAACTCCCTTCCATATCTCTCTCTGAACAAGTTTCTTATCACATGCAAAAGTGACAATTCACCACATCTTGAAGCAGCATATGTGAGACTTGATATTGCCACAGCAACATTTGCAGGTAGGTTGTGTATGCAACTGTCATAAAACTTACATTACATCTTGGTTTATATGTATAAAATCACTTGCACAGAGAATCATGCATAATTTGAGGTAACCAGGTTTAATGTGAGTACCTGCATTTGCTAATGTGTGACATGTTGGTGATGATGCATTCACAGAAATTATCAATTAGATCATATGCAGTCAACAAACATGAGTCTTTATACAGCTGTTCAACCTAAATTTTTGAAGGGAAAAATAAGAGCAATTATCCAAAGCCTATTTCACTTGACATTGAATAAAACTTACCCTAGCAAAAGCACTGTCGAAGTTGTCATTTTGGAGCAGCTGAACAATATCTTGACGTGTTTGTTTGATAATAACATACCTCCTATTCTTCTGGATAACTAGTTGAGCTTGAAATTGCATTATCAGGTTCTCACTGCATAGTTGAATAGCAGTGGATATCAGCTTGAGATTGTTATAGGTGCAGTATTAGGATTTTTCTACACAACTTCAAATGCGTTTCAACTCATGAAATTGATCCTCAGAAACAAATATCCTCGGATATTGGTAATTCAATAAACATGACTACATATGAAGATTGTGCACAGAAAATTGTTACCACTTGAAAGCTTTCTTCCATCCACTGACTCTGGCACATCCAAGAGCAAAACGAATTGCATAAGACCACGTTGGTGTAGATGGTTTTTCCTCTTCAATCTGCATGGTGAAAAAGAAAGAAAGGAGAACCAGAAACACAATATAATATAATATGGCTATTGATTTAAGGAATAAAGCTCTGATTCTGGCTGTTGTTCATTGTCATCTTATCTAAAAAACTACACTACTTATACTAATTCCATGGTTTAAGAAACAAACCAGTGTTTGGACTTTACATTTGGACAAAGATTATTTGACATAGATGAGAAATATAGAAATATGTAAAGTCAGTTTTAAAAACTAGGAATATGAAGAAATGGATAGAAATATATGCAATAATTATATGGGAAAGAATGGCTTTTTGTTTCCCAGTAAGGTGACTTTTCATTTGTTTGAATAAACGGTCAATAGATTAAAATTAAAAAATTAGTGGGTCATTACAGAGTTCTGTACCAAAGTCAGACCAATTTAGAACAATATAAATTTAACTAATTTATTATTCCTATTAGGTTTAACCATATACAATCAAAATATAGAAGGAATATTTACAGAGAGGATACTATATATTAGGTTTAACCAATAATCTTTAATCATTTCAAGAGACATTTTTCTATCATTCAGTGTTTTTGTCTTGAATGTGTTCTTATATTATCAATTTAAATGAAAAGAATCTTGGCTCTATAAATTTTATAATTCTTGATACTTCTTGTTTAGGAAGGTAAGTTTCTTTAATCTCGAATATACCTTATGTTGCTGTGGAAGGTTATAAATTCGATATGTTGGAAGCATTCTATTAATACTTTCTACAAAACCATGTCTAACTCATTCAGAGTTCAATTGGATGATAGAATCCAATAACCAAATAATTGATGCCAAAAAACTTATATTCATGTTAATTGTTTTTTGAAAAAAAAAAAAGAAGTTATTAGGTAAATATTTTAGGAAGATTAGATTTAGTTGAGCCAAGAGTCATGAACCATTTATTAGGATAGAGGACATTATAATTTAAGGATTTATTAGGAGAAGAAACTGCAATTTAAATAGACATTTCCTTTTTTACATTTCTTATTATTGTCAATTTTTACTACTTAAATTTAATTTATATCAAAATATATTTTTACACACCAAATCAGTTGATAAACATGGAAATAATTTCCACAATTTCTTATTCAACTTTAAAAACCTTACCTTTTTACATTATAATATTAAATAAAAAACATTGTTATTGTCAATAAATATATATCTTTTTCTTTTCTTTAATAAAATGCAATTTCACTGTTCTTTACAATGAAGCTATTCTAATCTCTCTCTCTTTTTTTTTTTAATCTAAAATATTTTTATTTACAGAAAATATAATTAAAGAGTGTTGCGGGTATAAAGAGAATTTATTTTAATAGAACTTTAAAATAAACAAAATGGGTAGTATATTCAGAAAAATAGGGGAGTGTACATAGCAAAGCAGAACCTTTTTGTTTTTCTTTTAATGTACCCAAGTGTAAATTCAACGGCCCACAATTAATGGGCTTATCGATGTTAAAATCAGACCATAGAAAAAGTTAAACCTACACATTTACTTAGCCTAATTTCATTTTTGAATTTGGATTTCGGTGATGTTTTCAAACGTTGAAGCCCAAGAACGCACAAGCCCCAGTAGCCTATTAGAAAACATCACGCAAGTCTATCCCTGTAAATTATTTTTTCTTCAAACCTCTACTTAATAATAAAAGTAATAATTGTATTTTTAGTATTTAGTTTATATTACAAATTTAATTTATTTTTTTTGGGTAAATTATTTCTTTCAAACTTTAATCATTTTGGCCAAAATCATCAATTTTTTAAACTGAAAAGTATTAATTTTATCCGAATTTTGTGATGAATTTGAGAAATAAAATAATTTTAAAAGTTAATAATTCAATAAACATTTGGAAAAATTAATTTTAAAGTTCGAACAGGTAAAATGTTATAAGTTTCTACATGTAAAGGCAAAATTGAAAATGTATTACATGTATACAGAGGTGAAATTATATGTTTAAATATATATATTTTTAGTGAGACGTAACGTTCAGGTTTGTGAGTTTTTGAGTAAAGGGTTTAAAATAATTTAACTAATTACTGAAATTGAGTAAAAAAAAATGTTAATTTAAAGATTTAGAGACAAAATAAATTATAATTTCGCATAATTTAAATTGATAAAAGATCAAACAAAATTGAAAGCAAATAAAAAATGGGAAGAAGAAAAAGGAAAAAGGGTTATTGAAGTGCAGCATTGAGAGCATTAGATTCCTTACTCTATGCAACACAACATTGAAGTGCAGGAGGATTCAGTGCAAAATAAGAATCCTTGTGAGCAATTTGAAGCAATGAAGCTTGATCAACCTCTTTCATGTGACCTTTACCACAACACCCTGTAATATATGTGACACTCTTCAATACACCTTCCCTATTTGTTTTTTCATCACCCATTTCCTAATTTTTCTTTTACCTTTTTTTCTATATATAGGGTTCTCGTTCCTTCTCTCAAAGATCACCACTTGCATTGCATTTTGCTTCACCTTGACCCCATTACAGCAATGAGCGTTTCTCCTCGCGTTGCAACGTTTCTCTTTGCCTGCATCTTCGCTGCACAAATCGCAAGTATGTTTGTTCAAAATCATGGTAGTGATATAATTGCGAACAGTTTGAGTATGTTTTATGTGTTACTGTTTTTAAAAACAAGAACATTTGATGTTTGACAGTTGGCATAGCCAATGATGATGACCATGATAATGATGTTGATCTCAAACATTCAAGCAAAATTGGTGATGCAGGAAGAAAAAGGGGAAGAACAGTTGAAATTGCAGGTTCAAGATTCCCAGATTGCATGCATGCTTGTGGCTCATGCTCCCCTTGCAGATTAGTAACTGTTAGCTTTGCTTGTGCCTCACTCACCGACCAATGTGAATCATGTCCTATTTCTTATCGATGCATGTGTAATACTAAATCTTACCCAATTCCATGAACCCTATTATAAAGTTTATGTCTTCCTGCATAAAGTTTCACTTTAGTCTTTTCAAAAAGAGATTTATTTGCATGACAATTTAAGGACATGAAGGTGTCAAAATATAGAAAAATTAAAAAGACAACACAGTCAAACAAAGTTTCACAATCATTCGCGTAGTGAAGCTTCATAATTAAGATGAAATTACCTAAGTCTAATTAAGAATAATAATTATTCTTGTAAACAACCAAACATGGATGATGAATTTCCAAGGAGTTTTCTTTACTTTAGAGACACATAAGATAGTGCCAAGTTGAGAATTTTTTGGTGAAATTATTGTGTAAGTTAAATGGAAAAACAAGGTATTAGAGTAAAACAAGTTTCACAATTTAACGCGTTGTCCAGCTTAATTTAGTTGGAACAACCTAAGTCTAATTGAAAAATAATTGTTCTTTTATTTAATTGTTAACGTTAAAATTTTCAAAGGTATCAATATCTGAGTAGAAGATCCAATCTTGCAATTCAACGCTCTGTCCAGCTCTCATATTGTCGAAAAGTAACACATAAAGAATGAGTTTAATTTTTTATATTGTAACTATTAATTAATTAAAAAATATTTTATATGTGATTTTTAAAACAATCAGACTAAATTTCATTTTAATCCCCTTTTATTTCCAGATCTACGATCTTGGTTCCTTATATGAAAAAAATTATGCTTTTAGTTTTATTTTTCAATTATATAGTTTTTACGATTTTACTTTAATTAAATCGAATCATACATCTATCATATTAATACCAATAAATAATCACATATCAGAAATTAAAAAGGACTGAAAACTATTATTTAATCAAATAACTATTTCAACAGTTTTACCAAATATACAATAGTTTATTTTATATTGCTAAAGTTTATATATAAAAATTTGAGACAATGAAACTTTTATGATGATTAGAAACCATTAAAAAAAGTCAAAAGAAGCCCCGAGGTTAACTTCTGTAATCCGATGATGACATGTGTATGGTTGACTGATATTTTAAGGAGTATAACTTCTGTGAAAATTAGGGTTAGATGGTGAAACCTAGAAGCAACATATAAAAATGATAATGTTACATGGGACAAATAAAACGAAAATACTTTGAAATTATACATAAAATGTTGGTGAAAAGGTTCAGTAGTTTAAAAGCCTTGTTTTGTTGTGTTCTTGGTCAACCGTCCAGCACAAGAACACATGGAAATAGAAATCGTGTTTGAAAGGTTTTCTTACTCAGCATTGAGTCGAGAGGGAATATTGTCAAAAAGTTTGACAATAATTACAAGAATAAATATCACAATAATTTTTTAATTATTTATTTCAAAATCTATGATTAAAATTAATAACTATTTTAAATTAATAAATTAATAAAAATAAATATAATGATAATAAAAAATAAGTTTTTAATTTTTATTTTAATATTAAATAAATGCATTAACTTATATTTTATATATTAAATCATTATATCTTAAATAAAACTAATTTTATTACTATAACTTAAAATAAAATAAAAATATTTTTATTTTTATTTAAATATATCTTTAATTAATTGATTTAGTATAAATATATTAATATTTTAAAAAAATAAAACAAAATTAATTGGTTAATTCGTTGAGCTAAGATAAAATCAGATTATACTATAAAATTTAATTTATTTTAAAATATAAATCAGATTAAATTTTTTTATTTACTCTTTCTGCATGATTATATCAGCATCCATATTTAGCATAAATGGGTTTAATTTCCTTTGTAGAATTCCAAATTCAAGTTTTGAAAAAAAAAAATAGAGAAAATTCATTAATTTAATTTTATTACGAAGTTGGATGTCAAACGCCTTTTCCTTGAGCATTCACAGTTAAAAACAAAAAACAAAATTGAATAATCCATGAAGATTTTGAAGAATCCAGGGGAAGAATACAGGAAGAAATTTCCGAAAGAGAATATAAAATTCGTCAATACTTAGTATAAAGAGAGAAAAGAAAGAGTAGAATTGTTAGAAAGGCAAAAAGAGGAAGTGAAAAATCTCATCAAATCATTGGAAGAAAGCTATAGAAAACGCAGCATCATGCACCGTTCCTTGCCCGTGAACATCCAATCAAGGTTTCTGAGCCACCAAATGCAAACGCAGGTGAACCAAATGGTGGGAAAACCAGTTCTTGTTGATCCCTGTGATGTGTTCATAAACCACAGAGGCTTGGACACAAAAACAACTGTGGCTACTCCTATTTATCACCATCTACGCAGGCATGCCTCATTTTCATTACAGTTATGCTATTTACACTTTTCATTTTGTTGTTGAAAGTAACCCATTGTCTAGCAAATCTTATTTAGTATACATTTATCAATTAGTTTTATATTGGAACATTAACATGGTATCAAATTCAAAATCTAATATCTTTTTGATTATTGTCATGGACCAAAAGTTACCCTTTACTTGGGTCAAAAGTATTCTTAGACTAATTGATTCTATATTGAAATCTTAACATATTTATTTATTTATTTATGCGAATTGGTTTTATATTAGAATCTTAACACATTTATTTATTTATTTATTTATTTATAGACACTTATATAATCCAAACCCTTTTCTCATATTCTATATATATATATTTTTTACTTTGTTGCTCATTTTAATTTCATTTATAATCAAATACTTTTAATTTTTATTTTTATTTTTAATCTATTTTCATCCATCTTTTTCTGTTTTCATCAACTTTTTTTTTCCTCTTCACCAATTAATAAATTTTAACATGCTGTTTAGAAGAAGACGTGTCCGAAAAGAGAGAGAATGTGCAGTGAAAAATATGTATTTCTTATTTCAATTTGATTCATCTTAAAAAATGAAGAAAATGTTTAAATATAAAGTGAGGCCACCATATGTGGAATTCGTCGTCTTTGAGAAGAAAGAAAAAAAAAAAAAAAGCTTTGAGAATGTCAAAATGGTCAAATTATTAATTTTTGTCTTCTATATTTTTTTATTAAGATATTTATACCATTATATACTTAAATTATTTTATCAAGCTACTAATAATCTTTTCTTTTTAATTTTCTATCTAAATCGATTATACCACGAATCTCTCTTCTATTATTTGAAAAACATTTGTTTATAACAACTACAAGTCATTATTTTAATTTAACCAATGATCTGAATTTTACGTATGAAATATTAATTATGTCAACTATATTATCACTACAAGAAAAATCAAAATTTCCGACGGACATAATCCGTCGGTAAGTAACAAATTCCGTCGGTAAATATATATTACCGACGGATCATTGACAGTCCTAAATCCGTCGGTAATAGTGTCGTTGGTAAAATTTACTGATGGATTTTGCTAGTCCATCGGTAAATATCATGAGTAATTATCGATGGAAAATTCGTCGGTAAATACCCATTACTACGGATTATCCTTCGGTAAATGTCATAGATACTTACCGACGGATATTTCCGTCGGTAAATACCAATTATGCACAAATCTTACCGACGGATTATCCATCGGTAAATCCGTCGATAAAACCACCTCTAGTTCCAGAGCAGGTTATTTTTTTTTTCATCCCATATAACCTGTAAAATAAGATTCAATCCAGTCCAATTCAATAATATATTCAACAATTCAATTAAACATAAATCTAACTCCCCTTAATCATAACTAAATTCAAATGTACTGTAATTTATGCATAATGAAACATAATGTATAATCCTAAAAAGAGTATCAACATACAAGTAGAATTGAAATATTATTCTATAGATGTTTGTATAACATTTAATAATGAGAATAATCAGGAGAATGATGTTCTGGTATGTTGTCGTCCTGTGGTGGGTTATCTTGTTGCTCTTCATTCAATTGTTGTTGTTGGGGTTGTTGTTCATCATCTGCTTCACTATGTTGACGCTGTTGAACAAGAGATTGTGCACTGGGGGGTAGAAGATGACCGACAAGGGATTGAAACTCTCTGAATTGGTGCTCTAGTCGTTCATTCTGCTCCCTTGTTCGACGTATTTCTTCTTCTTGTACAGACAATCATTGTCTCAATTGATTAATCTATTCTAAGTCAACTGAGGAGCTGAATGCTTGAGTTTGATGCTTCAAGCTATCTGAACCACCCTGATAGGCATCAACAAGTTGTCCAGCTCCATACAATCTTCCTTTATTCTTACCTCCAACTGTGTCCACCCAACAACGGGACCTTATAACTTCATCATGTGCAGTATCAGCAGGAGTGGACTCAGGTTCGCCAACACAAGATCCAGCAGATGACCTAGCTTGTGAAAGTCTAGTTTCAAATTCCTCCTATTAGTAGAAAAAAATCAAATTATTAACATGATTATTAACTTTACATAATATACAAAGTTTAACATGAAGGTTCTCACGTGTGTCTTCCTAGATCTTTCTTCAACAAATTGACCCGTCTTCCTCCTAATATGAGTCTGTTGGAAGATCTCATCAATAAAAAGTGATCTTCCAAGTTCCTTTGCCTACATTACATAAACAATTTGAGATATAAAACCCAATAAATTTTTCAAAATCGTAAATGTATGATATAAAGAGTTACCATACGTATGGCATGCTCATGTGTGTTGATAGAGCCACCTGTGTGAAGGCTCCCACCCTTTTCAGATGCCCTATTTTTTTGGGCTTGTGCAGATTTGGACTGATACATTGGTGAGTTCCAATGTGCTAGCAAACTGCTCCAAACGTGATCTCCAATCCAGTCTGGTCTTTGACCAGCAATTATTGCATCCCTAAACATCTCACTAAGTCTGTGAGATGCTTTGGAATGAAAATTCTTCTTTATTTGATGTTCATGTTGTGGTCTCCACTGAACCTTCATCTATAAAAGTATAAATTGTTATACACATTATAGAAAAATGACTACAAAACATATATTCAATAATTATAGTTATATATATACATTAATGGAAATCAATAGTAACATTAAACATGCTTCTAATAATTAAGTATGTACAGAAGATTAAGTTACCTTAAA